TGGGACCAGTCCCGAGTTTGAGACCTGTCCTGGGCCTGGGACCAGTCCTGTTGTGAAACTCATCCTGGGCTGGGACCTACCCTGGTCTGGAACCCATCCTGGGTTGGGACCCATCCTGTCATGGGACCTGTCCTGTCGTGGGACCCATCCTGGGGTGCCTGACGACTCGGGCACAGCTCACCCTGCACTCCTCCTTCACCCGGTGCAGATTTCTCACTGCTGGTGATCGATGAGTGCCACCACACACACAAGGAAGCCGTCTACAACAAAATCATGCTGACTTACCTCCAGCGCAAGCTCGGCGGGCACCAGGACCTGCCACAGGTCCTGGGCCTGACAGCATCCCCTGGCACCGGTGGGGCAACCACCTTCGAGGGGGCTGTGGAGCACATCCTGCAGGTGGGTCCTGTGCCCCAAGGTGTTGGTAGCCTGGTATGCGGGTGTTGGGCGGCCCGGGGGTGATGTCCCCTTCACATTGTGTTGCTGAGGGCTGGAAGCATGGTCTCGCCCTCGCAGATCTGTGCCAACCTGGATGCAGAGGAAATCACGTCGGCGCAAGCAGAGGCACAGGATCTGCAGAGCCATGTCCCCCAGCCCAGGAAGCAGTACGACCTGTGCCAAGAGAGAGCACAGGTGAGGATGGAGCCTGATGATCGCTGGGTGGAAGATGAGATCCCAGCGCCCTGCTGAGCTGGGGGCTGCGTCCCCCCGTCCGCTCAGCTCAGGCAAGGACTCGGTTGAGCTCTGCTGCAGGGGGATCCCACAGCCATCGGGGTCATGCCAAGCAAACAGCCCGCAAGCCAGGCTGTGTGGAGCAACATCCTCGATTCCTCGGGTCCTGAGCCCCTCACTGTTCCCAGGACCCCTTTGGTGAACAGCTGAAGAAAGTGATGGAGCAGATCCAGCAGTACATGGGGACACCAGGGCTGCCACAGGACTTTGGCACGCAGCTGTACGAGCAGCGCATCGTGGAGGTGGAGAGAAGAGGTGAGGGGGCGGCAGGGCAGAGCCGGGGACTGCAGGGCCAGGCTGTGACCATGGCTGTGACTGTGGCTGTGGCTGTGACCGTGACTGTGACCGTGGTGTCCCCTATCCCTTGCCAGCAGCAGAGACGTTTTGCCGCCGGACGCGGGTGTGCGCGCTGCACCTGCGCAAGTACAACGATGCACTGCTGATCAACGACACAGTGCGGATGATCGACGCCTTCCAGTGCCTCCAGCAGTTCTACGCCACTGAGAGGGACACGAAGGACCCCATCGGGCGCTTCCTCACTGCCACCTTTGAGGGTAACACAGGGGCCTGGAGTTGTGAGGTGGGCTGCTTTTGGGAGGTAGAGAGTCCCCCTGATCCCCCTTTGCCTGTGCAGAGAACAGGACGAGCCTGCAGGCACTTGCTGAGGACCAGCGCTACGAAAACCCCAGGCTGGGGAAGCTGGAGGAGATCCTGCGGGAGCACTTCCAGCCCCATGGCACCTCCCGCGGCATCGTCTTCACCAAGACACGGCAGAGCGCACACTGCCTGCTCCGCTGGCTGCAGGACACGGCCACTCTGCATGGGCAGCACCTCAGGGCCGCCGTCCTCACCGGTGCAGGCTACGGCAGCCAGAGCGGGCACATGACACAGGCGAGCACGGGGGACCTGGACCTGCTGCTATCCCCACGCTTTGTAGTTGCTGTGGGTGCTACGAGCCCTGCGCAGCTGCTGGAGCTTTGCCCTCCCATTCCCCTAGAGCGAGCAGCAGGACGTGATCAAGCTGTTCCGGCAGGGAGCCCTCAACCTGCTCTTCTCCACCAGTGTGGCCGAGGAGGGCCTGGATATTCCTGAGTGCAACGTCGTCGTCCGCTATGGGCTGATGACCAATGAGATCGCCATGGTGCAGGTGTCTGCCTCAGCTCCCTCCAGCCGCACTGCCTGGCACCGCATGAGGGACACCCCAAGGCCGCGGGGGTGGGACACGGGGGCTCTCGCACTCCTGTTCCCATCCCAGCTCCCTAGGGATGAGCCCAGCATCTCCTTGTTGAGGTGGAGGGTGGTGCAGAGGCTGGACCTATCCTTGCATGGGGAGGTTGGGGAGTTGGCCATGGCTCTCCTCTGCTGACCACAGCCCTTGGCCTTTTCACTGCAGGCCCGGGGCCGTGCCCGTGCCAAAAACAGCGTCTACTCCGTCGTGGCCAAAGCCAACAGCAGGGAGGTGTCCCGCGAGCTGCTCAACGAGGACCTGGTGCAGCTGATGGAGCAGGCGATTGCGGCAGTGCAGGCCATGCCGGAGCAGGAGTACCGGCTCCGGGTGAGCACCGGCTGCTGCCTTAAGCCTTCGCAGGGCCCAGCATCCCCTGTCCTTGTCTGCTGCGTGGGCACAGCCCTGGCTTTGGCCACCATTCCCCTGGGGCAGCACCTGCTCCTGGGAGGGGAGAGCATCAGCACTTGTCCTGTCCTGCCCATCCTGCTGTGCAGCTCACGCTCTCTAGCATGGTGCATCTCTCCAAGGCCATGTGCCTGGCCACGTCTGCTGTCTGTCTGTGCCCTGACCCCTGTCCCCCGCAGATCCAGGAGCTGCAGCAGGCTGCAGTTGAGAGATGGCTGATGAAGGAGGCCAGGATCAGCGAGCGGCGACGGCTGCATGACCCCGATGCCGTTAACCTCTACTGCGTCAACTGCAACGTGGCGGTGTGCCGCGGCAGCGACCTGCGCACCGTGGAGGGCATGCACCACGTCAATGTCAACCCCAACTTCGGGTAGGAGCTGGGTGTGGGCAGGGTGGGCAGGAGGTGGCAGCAGCCTTCTGGGGGACACCACCCCCAGGAGCACTGTAGGACAGCGTGACCACAGGAGCGCGTGTGCTGCCCCATTTCTGCCTCCTGTACCACCCTCCTTAGTGCCATTCGGCCCCTTCCCACAGGCTGTACTACAATGTCTTGCCTGGGAAGCTGCAGTTCCCACGGACTTTCAAGGACTGGGAGCCCGGCTGCCGCATCGCCTGCAGTGAGTGCAGCCAGGTGAGCACAGTGATGCCCCACAGCTGCAGCCCAGGCAGCGTTGGAGGGGCAGGTGGGGCCCTGCCTTGTGCTCCTGCACACAGGGGCCATGGACACGGGTCCCCAAGAGGGGACGTGCTCTGCATGTACGGAGCTGTCTTCATTTCAGTGGTGCACGGCCCTGCAGCCCTCAGTGATGATGCTCTCCCTGCCCACACAGGACTGGGGCATGGAGATGATCTACCGCCAGGTGAAGCTGCCCATCCTCTGCATCAAGAACTTTGTGGTGGAGACACCGGACGAGAAGAGGAGGTACAAGAAGTGGAGCGCCGTGACGTTCTCCATCGAGGAGTTTGATTACCTGGAGTACTGCCCCAGCATCCACGGCCAGTCCTTCTAGCACGGGCTTTGTTCAGAGCAGGACTATTCCCAGGCCATGTCCCGAGGCAGTGGGACCCTTCCCTCACCCTTGATGTGGGACCCTACCTCTGCCTCTGCAGACGGAGCCACCGCTTGCTCCTTTCCCCTGCTGGACCGAGCTTTGTGCAGTCGATTGCCCTCCATTAAACACGCGTGGGAGCGTGGGCAGCGTCGGCGCATTCGTTCATCCGCTGCGGCCCCGGACCCCGTTTGCCTCCCGCCGCCCCC